ACGAATCTAAGAGTCGGATTTATTGAACTTCTAGGGGAAGACGAGAATGGATCTCCACTCTGTGTGCCTGGCGCCCTAGCGTCAAACGTCCCCAAAATCCGACGGTCGCACGAGAAGGCATGGCCTATTGAAGAGCACCTTAAGATGGACCAAGCAGAGGACTTATTCGTGTGGATTGGTGAATGTATTGCCGAAGTCATTACCGATGCGCTCGAGGAAGCTTCAAGTGTGGATTTTGCATGTGCGGAAGCGCCATTTGGAGAAGAGCTGCCCCTGGGCATCACATTCAGCTTCCCAATGAAGTAGGAGCCTCCTTTCTTCTACACACTTGTCCTCAAAATTCGAATTCATGAATAACTCGTAATCCTTCGAATATTGTTCCCTGTGATGGAAACGATGACTGATAATGCTCTATAGTCAAACTTCAATGTCAGAAGCTACACTAATGCCAATGGGCAAAGGATTCGCCATCACTTCTGATCTGAATCTTGGCAAGATGCTGCTGGCAGGCTATGGCCGTCATGTTCAAGAAAGAAGTACTAACGGGGAGTTACATAATGCTGAGAAGACCTCTTCAAACAAGAAAGGGAAGCCTTCGGAGCTTCCAAACCTTCGCATTGCTGCCATCACGAATGACACGGTCGCGACCTTTGCTTCTCTCGCATATGCAGTAAGGTCTACTGCCAACAGTCGCGTAGCTATGGGACTCATAGTCGGCACGGGCACAAACGCAACAGTCCCAATGAGTCTCGACTATCTTCATCCTGCGAAGATTGAGGAGCTCATCTTCCCCGGTAACGCCGATCCTAAGAAAACAGTAGTGATCAATACCGAGTGGACCATTCGAGGCACGGATGCGCCTCTAGTTGACCTGGGTATCAAGACCAAGTGGGATCTGGAACTCGATAGGAATAGCGAGGCACCGGGATTCCAGCCTTTCGAATACATGACGGCAGGACGGTACCTGGGCGAAATCGTGCGACTTGTTCTACTGGATGCCCTGTCCAGCGAGAATGACGGAATAGAATTGCCCGCCGCATTGAAGCAAAAGAATTCCATATCAACGAGATTTCTGTCCACCGTAGTCGCACGGGCAAATAAAAAATTGGACGTCAAGCTTGAAGCTCTTTTCCCTGCACCTTCATCACAAAGTGGCATCTTCTGGACCGAGGAAAGAACCAATCTACTTCGTGCCATAGCTCGAGCTGTACAAGTTCGATCTTCGGCACTTATTGCGGCAGCAATAGTTGGTTTACTCGATTGCGTCAAAGACATCCAACTCAACATTTCCAAGCTCGCAGGGTCTGACTTGGTCGGCAATGCGAAGCAGAACGGAAATAGAGACTTACATGCTGAACACGACATGGAAGAATTGGTAGTTGCTTATGCGGGTGGCACAATCTCTCAGTATCCGAACTGGCTGGAGACGTGCCAGAATTGGATTGATGTGCTTGTTAGAAAGGGATCGGTTCCCAATCAATCAAAACGGGTTGTTCTTCGGGAGGCGTTGGATGGTGGCATCATTGGCGCTGCCGTGTTAGCTGGTATGACTGACAGTGCTGCGTAGGGCTGCATCCAGCATAGCATTGCGGGGTTATGGAAAATATAGAAGGATTAAGATATTTTGCCAGAGGTACTAATCTTGGTGGCATGTCAATTCATTTGCCATGCCCTTTATCAATCCAACCTCTTCGTCAATATTCCGACCTTCAACAGTGTGAAATTCAGCCTTCCACATTTCTTCCCAAATCCCCGGCGTTTTTAAAGAGCGTATTCCTGTTTACTCTTCCTCCAACCTGCGAAGAACTGAAGAATGTTCAATGATCTCGATAATGATGTCCCGAATATTCAAAAAGGGAGCTGGGATCTGACGTACTACAAAATATGGTTTAGGCTATCTACAGCTCAGCATATGCACACTTCCGTCGGTTTGAGATTAATTCACCAATGCAAACCCGTAATTCGTGTCGTACAAACCTGAGACTGCCGAGCACCACAAGCGTGCACGACATTTTGCGGAGAACCTGCCCAGGTCGGCCGTTATTATCCCAAGGCGTAATTGGCTCACAGTCGTGGCTTCCTTCCCGGCCAGTGTTGTGTCACTCTGTCACAGCCAGACTCGCAGGTCCGTTCACTCTCCTAGTGTATTCCGATTTCGGCCTGCCTACCTAAATACACCGTTTCACACGACACCTGCCCAGATGGGCCGCGAACAAAATTTGTCAATCGTCCATTCTCCTGGAAAGGACGCCTGCACAGTTGTACAGCTGATATCATCCAGCTCGCATCTCTGAGAACTTCCAGCAAACTTTTTTCTTGATAGACGAGCACAGCACCTGGGCAAACACGGCTTACCTACTCATTCACTTCACTACACCACCACTGCCTCATCGCATCTCTACAGCTAGGAATCAAAGGTGTCTCGGCTGTGCGGGCTATTCCGAAACTCTCATTTGTCGAGTTGCACATCTGGACGATAAATCGAACTGCAGTCGAAGATTTGACGCCTCTGTAGACGATAATCTTGGGCCCCTTCCTGGTATGTCCAATGGCGTGATTTCGCCTCAAATTTAATCCCCATATCAGAAAAATTCAAATTCCAATCTCCTGCCGCTACTTCAGTCATTACCATGTACTAAAATTCTCCAGCGCCAGTTTTTGGTTTGACGACATCGAATAATTTCACTACATCTCAGAGTACTGTTTGTTCCCCTTGCTGGAAACATAACGGCTACTCACAGGTCGTTTAAGAAAGGTCAAACGCAATCTTTTGAACAATCAAGGCACCTCAGAGCGATGCCATGGCTTCTTTCCGAGGAATGAATTGCATCAAGAAGTTATCTCGCCGGATTTTCATCTCGGCCTATCTTCTCTCTTTACTTATCGCAACATCAATTGAGCAAGATCAGCCTAGGTGTTACTATGACGTCGGTAAACCGGCTGGTCCGGACATTGTACCATGCTTCGAAGGCGGTACAGTGTCTCCTTGTTGCAAGATTGGCAGCAACTGCCTGACCGATAACTCTTGCTGGGATCGAGGAACTGGAGTCACGTACCAGTACGGCTGTACAGATATCACTTATCAAGACAACGCGTGTCCATCAAAATGTGGGCTGGATAGAGGTACGAAGCGACAGAATTCACTCATGCAATGGTGGTTCATTAACTCGGTGCAGAGAAATCCAACTGGGTCGGACTGGTGTACTGCGATGGCACCGACACTACACCAAACAATACTTGGGCCTGCAATCATCCCGATACTTGTGGCCACCCAAAAAGCTGCGCAAGTAGCGTCCCATGGGATCCAGCCCTGCAGTCTCTGCCATCCCTAACATGCTCCGACCTCATTCCGCTCAGTACGGCGTTCATCGGCACTAACCCGATCAACTCAATACTATACTTGCCCTCAAATCCCGCAGACTTGAGGAGCTACTTCGCTGCACACTCGGCAGAAATGAATTCGCCTGTTTCTACGGCTACGTCAGTTCCATACAACTCGCCCCTCTTCGCAGCTCCGACCACGTCTGGAGCTTCGGTTACCGTCACCTCCACCCCAGCGGTTTCCTTCATCTCACTCCCTCCGGCTTCAACATCATCAGTGGCTCCTGCGAAACAACCCTCCCACTCAAATAATACACCGCTTATAGTTGGTATCAGCGTAGGCGTCGGCCTCCTTTTACTCTTTGCGTACATTATTCGCACGGCCCTGTGGCTCTACCGCCGACGCCGCAGGAATTCTCGTCTTAGTCCGGGGTCAGATCCAGGCGTAGCTATATTGTCACCGTCGGACACGAAACATGCAGCACAAGGGGGTGGTTTACCAAGTCCAGGATTTTCACTCAAGGCAGAATTGCCCGGAGATACTGCTGAAGGAGCGGGCAGTTGTGTTAATCGTATTGTCAGCGAAATTGATGGCACACCTGTGCCGGCGTATGAGGAGTTCCAGGGAACGAAGCATGAAAGGGCGAGCGGGGAGATATTTGAGATGGAAGTATAGCGCTTCGATTCTGGATACCCTTTGAATGAAAGTCAAGATTGACATGCTTAGACAATTTAATGGGTGGCTTTCTTATACCCGGCGAGTTTGAATATGGCAATACTCCATTCATGGACATGGAGGTGAGGAAACATTCAATACATTAGAATGGCTCCTGTTCTTTCCCAGATTTTCAACAGCTCCAAGTTCTTCCCTAGAACCGTTATCCCCAATAGTCCCGAACACCCCATCGCAATCTCTCCTGGCCCCTCGCCTCTTCTCCCTCATCTGTGCTAACCTGGAACCTATATTCAAGAGAAGTCTGCTCATCCAAAGTGCACGCAACACACTCTAGTATCCTCAGAATTGGAAAATCTCCTTGAAAAGTAGCAATCATTTCAATTCCACCCGGCACTCTCATCTTCATATCACGAGCGTCGGACAAGTAAATAAATCCTTACGTCTTCACGCGACTAACTAGATTGGAATCCTAGGATACACCACCTCAACCCTCACCCCGCCATCCCCATCCATCCCCATTCCCACTAGCATTAGCCCTCACATCCTCATCCCCAACCTATACAACCCGAGTGCAACACGAGTGCAATCCTAGAAACTACCCACTCCCCCGTCCGCACGATATAATCCTCCTCGGAGTACCCAAATAGCTCGCAACTTGCTTTTTGTTCTTATTGTTGACCTTGCGGGATCTGGGCTTTTACTTGTGGCAGAACTTAGAAAAATAGTCCACAATTTCTTGAATCTCTTGCCTGTGGTGCTGGGAAGGTGGAGGTTGGTTTAAGCGGGTCTGGATAGATTTAATAGGTGGAGTTTGAAATCTTTATAGATAATTTAATTTGCTAGGAGTGAGGTAATTTGATAGCAATGAGGTAATTCGATAGGAATGAGGTAATCTGATAGGAATGAGGTGATTTGATAGGAGGTAGTCACGGACTAGTATTCCTAAAGATCGTGTCACATCATGAAAAATAATATGGGAGCAAAAAAAAGTTAAAAAATTGACTGCGCGGGCCGGGAATCGAACCCGGGGCCCATCGATACTGTGATCTTGGCAACGATGGATTTTACCACTAAACCACCCGCGCTGAAGTGTTTGTCGCTTAACTGCCCGTTGGGAGTTATTCGCCATGGGAAACAGCGCAAATTATTGCAAATTATATTCAGTGTTACGGCTGGATTTCAATTTCGGTTAACACAATCGGCCCAACTGAATTTGCTCTAGTTGCTAAAAGTGCGAAATAGAATAAATATTAAAATTACGTATACAAACACTACTTTATTAATTATAATTTACTAAATACTTACTTAAACTTTATTTTATAAAAGGCTTTATAGTATTTATTTTAAATTATTTAAGCTAATACCTAAGTTGAACTAAATTAAAATAAACTACTTAATAAATAAATTTATTTAAAAAAGGTACTTTAAAATATATTTATATAAATTACTTTTTAAGTAAATATAAAAATTAAAATAAAATACTATTTTACTATAAATTACTTAATAGTTTTTAATTATAATAAGCTATTACGGGACCCGCCTACGATACCTAGCACGCCGAGCAACGCGTCCAAGCACGTGCTTACGCTCTACTGCCAAGACCGCCCTTGACTTTTTTTCTCGCGAGCAAGCTCGCGACTCTCCTTTTCTTCTTTACGCAACGTCTTGATCAATCACCTGTCACTGTACATAGCATGGCCGATAGCTAGCAATTGAGCTTATTGCAACTGCTTGTAGCAACTCCGTGATATAAGCTAAAATTAAGCTTTTTTAATATGTATATAACTTACTTATTAATAGCTATACCGGCCGTAGTAAACGCTTAAAATTCTACAATATAAATACTACTAGCTGTATATATATAAAACTATTAACTAATATATATTTAAAACTAAGGCTCTATAAAATTGGCCTCTATACCTCAACGCGGTAAAGCCCGGGAGCTTTATTAATAATCTATAGATTATTATTAATGCAAACGTAGAGACGTCCGTATAAACGGTATTTTATAGATACTGTGTAGTGATAGGTCTATATAGTTTAGTTAGAAGAATTTTTACTCTACAATAACTCGACTATATAGGGACCGGCCACCCCTAGACGCAGCTTAGTATTACCACCTATATATATACCTCTATACGGGACCTTATATACAATTCACGGCGGTAGTAATTCAATTTTTATCGGCCTTTGTTCTACCTGCTTGGGTGAGCGAGTAGGCAAAACTTCAACTTATAGTCTTTATATATACTCTTAAAGGAATACACTAATCCGACCCACTAAAGCTATATTATACCTTCTATAGGGCCCTCCTTTTATAATTATTGAACCCGAATCCTCCTTACAAGCGAATCGACTACGAATAACACGCGTACCTATCCTACTGCCTGGCAGCCTGGATCTCCCTTAGCCGACCTGGCGACACACAAGGGGGTGGTTATCCCTCTACGGACTTGCGTAGGTAGCACTTCCAAAAACAGGGGCCTAGTTAGGGCCTAGGACAAGACACCCGAGTATATCCCGTTCGCCCTTTGGTGGAAAAGGGAGACGCCGCAGGGTAGTGACCCGTCAATGTCTCTACACGTGCGTTTCTCAGCCGATTCAACAAGCATACACACACGCACGTACATACACACACGATGCAGTCACAAGGGGCCGGGACGGTCACTCCATACACCAACAAATAGCACACTTAATACACAGAAGCAACGGTTACAAGGAAAGCAGGGATTCAAGGATATTCGGTACCCTCCCCTATCTAAGTCGAGGTACCAGCGTGGCAGCCCAACAATGTTTTCTCCAAACCCCAGAGTTTTTTATTTGCTATTGCTAGGTAGACAGTCTGCATAGACCCATAAGGGAACCGCAACAGGCGTGAAACAAGAGACAATAATATATTTAAACTATTAGCTAATATATATTTTACTGCTATACTTATTAACGCTTTAAAGTTTTTTATCAAAAATACTATAGCCTTGTAAAACTACTTTTAGTTTTTAATATTACTACCTTTAAAGTCGCCCGTCTCTTTTACTAATACGTCTAGGTAGACTTCGGTCTACATTGTCAAAGCATTATACATTAGTATTCAATTAACACTTCTTTATAAGCTTTTGACCTTTGCCTGTGGTACTCTAGTAATATAAGTTACAATCCATTAAAAGGTAAATGGAGCCGTAACATAGTATAAAATAGGCCAAAAAAATGTATTTAGCATTAAGAAAGCCAAATAGTTTAGAAAGGGCAGGATTTAAATATTTAAAATACTGGTAATGCCGAAATTTTAGAGAAAATGGGCTAAAGTTGCGCGTAGTCAAATAGGGCCACGCTACGGTAAAGTTCAATATAGACATTGCTGCAAAGCAGGATATTTGTATTAAACCCTGTCATTTATAGAGCCAGAATACTATAGAATAGGCTAGGTACTTGAAATAATTAATTTTATTTGGCGTTGTAAAGTGGTGTAACTTTGTTGACGTGAGCGACTCGCTCGTGGAATACGTTAATTAACCTTCCGATTAATTAAATTGACCGGAAGCTTGGTACGTTTTTGCAGGCCGGAGCTAGTGCGGCGAATTCCACAATTTCAATCAGTTAATTAAAAGTTTTTCCAGGCCAGTTGGAGGCAAAGTCACCAATTAATTATAGTAGTTAAAGGCTTAGCAACCAATTCAACCAATTAGTTGGGACAGTTGGTTGGACATGAGCTCTAAAGAGGCTACATAGAAGCGTTAATTAAACGCTAACGTACAATACTTCAAGAATATACAAGACGTTGCGTAAAGAATCAGAACAAGCAATGGTCAGGAAACATGTAAATAAGGGTATGACCCATGCTCAACACGTAGCTCATGCGAGATTGGGTGGCTAGGAAGGAGCTAGCTTGCATCGAGGCAGTTACGGGTTGTTATCGACAACTTGTCTGATAACTTCGAGGTGGAATAAGGCTTGAAGATTTACACAACAGTAGTTAGCAGATAACCACATGATCAATAAAAAAATCTCGAATGCAGTATGCTATCTTGGGACCATTGGACACATCGACTCTTTCGCCTCTTTACTCAGTAGCAGCTTGACTTGTGGCCATCTTGTTAAGGGATTGAGTTCCCAGCGTGAAAGGTCAGTGGCCCACGTTTGCGACTGCCTCGGTTCCTTCAAGACCCCATCCCGCCACAATTGATAGGCCAGTTGTTTTCTCCAGCTCAGCCCAAGAGCGTGCTCTCTCACCGGGCCATCTGAATGCTCTGTATGGACACAAGGCCCTTTGCCAAAAGCGTCCAGACAAGCTTGGCCATTGCTGTGGTCCGGTGAAAAGCGGTGAATAGAAGGCCTCCCGGGGAGATGCATCAGGTATGAGCCGAAAACGTCAAAGGGCGGACAGCGTGGTTCCCAGTCGGTGCTCCGGTGGCAGCGGTAGCACTTTTCGGTCAGATCGTTCTCCCTATTAATAGTTTCAGGTATAATCCCAGAATCGTGCCGCTGGAGAAAAGAACGGGTGGGCTCGTTGGTTACTGTGATAGGTTGCAAAAAGCGGTGTTCAATTTCACCTTCCAAGTGGGAACCGCACTTGTACATACTATCCTCGCGAATGGTGCTGGCAACATTGAATCCAGCCTTTTCCAAGGCCTGGCACCATATCAGCCAGGTTGTCGGTGAGAGAGCCATATCCGAGGGCGAGCAACCATCCGCGTCCAGTAGCAAAGGGTTACACCCATTCCTCAACAGTTGCACCACTATATCTGTAATGGCGACGAATTCCGAGTTGGTCATGTCGTAATGGTTACAGGCACTCAACCTCCACAGTAATCCATGAAGCGCTCCCCATCCGCGTGCGCTTATGATAAGTGGGTTCGCACCAGCTTTAAGTAGTGCCCTAGTCACAGGAACAAGCTCCTTGGAGCCGACCAGGCTGATAGCAGCGAGCAGAACAGTATTGCTGTGGAAATTGCGCTCTTCGAGATCGCACTCATGATGCAACAGTAGCTGAATGGGCTCCAAGACAGAAACTCCATTCATCAGATATTCTTCCAGAGTAGTGTGAGCGAGGCTAGCCACTGCAACTTCAGCGCCCCCACTCCACCTGGTGTACGGTAGCATTTTCGAGACATCTACGCCGCAGTAGCTAATGAAAAGCCGTATACCCTCCATGATGGCTTTGGTGGATACTGAACCACCTGTCGCGGTTTTGGGAACTTTGGAGACGAATTGTATAAGTGCGGCATCTCCGTTCCTGAAGCGCTTGCGGTCAGAAGGGAACATGTATCCAGCGTGACATACAAGAATTACTATTGTAAGAGTTAAGGAGATTGCGAACTTACTGGTTACAGTCGAAGGGATCGGCACCTTGCTCCAGTAAGAATGTACAGATGTTATAATCGTAGTTTTCGATGGCATACTAAATCTAGTATGAGTAAGGACTGCGTATGAAGAATGCATCAAACAAAGCATACCGCGAGCAATGAGTTTCCATTTTCATCCCTGTCGTTTGGGGTTGCTGTCCGCTCGAAAAGCGCATCTCGCAAGCCCGACAGATCCCTGGACTTTATATAGGAGAAGATGGGACAGTCTTTAGGCTGGACTCCAAACAAGGACACAATAGGAGAGACCTTGAATTCCTTGCTGAACATCTGAATAAAGGTTGCGGTAACTCCTGATATTCTGAACAGCGCATTTGGGACAAATATAATCCTCGCCGTCGTTGCAATATTGTTTGGTCGATTTGAGAAATTTTCTCGTGTAATGATTACAACCAGTTTCCCTGTTGGAAGGTCTATTTCGGTTATGTTCCGGAAAGATGTGATGACCGAGCGGTTTGAGCGAGGTGACGGTAGGCATGGCAATGAATATGCCGACTGCTTGAGCCGTTGCTTGCCAGATAGTTCCTTGAAAAGAGCACGAGAAGAGTGTTTGCGCATACGGATACTTTCCCCTGTTCGCTGGGCCCCAACCTCTTTCTCTCCATTTGTCCCTGATCTCAGCTCCTGGCTTCTAGCCGTCACTGCGTCATCTAGGAGACCGCGAAACTCGGTTTCGATCCATTCAGCATATTCGAGAGCCACACTAACTTGGCTGCCGGATGCGACAT